CTTGTGCGAGCTAAGGATTAACGAGGTCTTACCTTTTAACGTGTGATTCCTAACACGTTTATATTCTGTTGTCGAAAAACTTTATAATTTTTTAATTGTTGCATAGAAGTTGATTTTTCCAAATCTATATTATTATAACTGCATTCTTTAATTTATATGCTCTTTATTTTGTTCGATTCCAATTTTCTCTCTGAACTGTAGTCTACTAGGGCCATCCAGTATAATCCACACCATCCTTGGCAGAGAAAATACTGCACGCGCATACAGTTATCTGTTCAATTTGTAAAAATGTTCTCATAATAACTGTTTGGAACCAAAGGTTCTTTTTTCTTCTTTTCTTGGCGTGAACCATTTTAACTAGCAGCATCTGCTAGTTAAAATCTGAAAAATATCTTCCATTTTTTCATGCTTATCTCATTCTCTTTTTTCTTCATTTTTCTCTTCTTAGTTTTATTGTTCTATGATGGTTATTTTTCTTTAAATTTGTCCATATAGTGATGTCTGGTAATAACCTAAACTGCAGGGTTTGTAGGTTTAAACCAACATGCTTGAAACCATGGTTTAATCAAGATTTAAACCAACTGGTTTTTTAAGAAAAAAAAGTTTTTTTAATTGGGTTNACATAATAAACCTAGTTTAAACAAAAAAACTGTTTTTTTTTGTTTTTTGAAAAAACCTTGGTTTTTGCCAACCCTTTTAAACTGCAATGAAATTTTATGCGAAATTGATATGTATTCTAATAGTTGTATTCACGAACAATCACAGACACAGTATTTAAATGAAACTGTTTGTTGTTGCGGGTTTTTTTGGCCGTCGTATGTTGAAATTTCTTCCTGATATTTTTCCGGTGCGACTGGCTGTCCGTGTTATCCCTTCCAATATAGGAGGTAAACTGAAGATCCCAGCTACTTTCGCGCCGGCGAAACGTCAGGAAGAAAGTCCATAAACGACGACCTAAAAATTTTCATATTTTTGTCAATATTGTGCCGCCCGTAGGTTCTTTAATGAGTGGCTTAGTTAATAAATTAACGACGAAATACAACTCAAAAACACTGCTAAATTGATTTCAATATCACATTTCATTGGATTACTTCACTTTTTTGCTTGTTTTCGCTGTGGTGTCTGTCGCTAAACTAACCTCTTGTAAAGAGGTAGAAGTCTCCAAAAGTGTCCATGCCTTTTGTTATCTCTTCTATTCTAATTCATTTTTGTTACCACCATATAAACACGATAGGTAGACAGGTTTTCTGTTGATTATTGTTAGGGTTGTACTTGCCTACTCACCTAGTTGTAATAATGATATCTCTTCAGAATCTCTCGGAGAATAGTACTAATCGTTTTCGAAATATTGAAAAATGCGGTCAAACATTCAATTGGTCCCAGAATCTAAGAAATTGCCGAAGACTCGCGTTTGTATAGCTATCTCTCTTCGATATGCCGAATGCAGGCTACTAAAACAAGAGATCTCGCTGTTTACAACCAAACGTTAACTGCTTCTCACATGTAGAATAAAATGTTCCTATATAAAAGTAGGTATACTCGTATATAATGATTCGGCCCCCAAATGTTTTAACGCCTCATGATTCCAATTTGGACTCCATGTTCTTAATGAAATGCAAAAACGCCAGAATTTTGAGTAGCCTAACCATAAGGCAACTATTCCGTAAACAATGCCCCTAAACTAGAAAAAAGCATCCTATGTTTCACTGTTTGCCTTGTATCGAAAATATAAGCAGTTTATTTGAAGAAAATTATTATTTCGAACATTAATTTTTTCCCAAGTTTGGCAAATTTCCACAGGTTAGCAACTTTCTCTCTGACGAAGGCACCATTCAAAACTCGAAATTTGGCACAAATATTTGACATATTTGGAAACAATGTAAAATATTATGCAGATGTCATGAAAATGTGTCTGGTTTCGCTTGAAATCAACCTCAATACAATCTTATAATTTTGTAATAGCTAATTCTGCTTTAGACACATCTGAAATATGAAAATTCATTTTGAAGAAATCCATCATTGTGTCAAAGCTATTTTCGGGTTTTTCAGCCTGGTCTGCAGGTTTTATGTCTGACGTTTTGTCTATTACTGCGGTAGTGATTCTCAACGCAGATACGTTGAGAACTACTCGTGTACTTCGACCGTTAAACCATCGCATTTGATGATGTATACCGCAGTCGTAGGCGAAACGTCAGACATAAAAACCTGCAGACCACGGCCAAAAAACCTGAAAATTGCTTTGACACATTTATCTCTGACCGTGAAAGTTTAAATTCTTCGAAAAACTCCATTGTTGTTATTGACTGAATGAGTTCAAACGGTTTAATTATTATTCCATATCAGTTGTGCAAGTTAGCATAAGTAAAAATAACGCAGTTTTATCGAAACTATTTGGAATAATTTTTGTATTTTTATTGAAACTATCTATCGAAAAGAACCTCGAGAATAGCAATTTCGTTAAATAAGGTTAATTCGATGTTTGAAAAAATACGGGCGACGATAATTATTCCTTTAACGTTATTGAAGATTTTTATTTGATGTAATAATGAAAACCAGCCATGCCTGAATATTTCCCCTTCCACAGCGAATTCAGGTAAATTATCGGTATCTGTTGGATTGTATTGTACACCGCGGCAAAGTAAATCAAGTGTTCAATCCGTTCTGTGAAAATATAGTGACAGTTCATGTTATGATCGGGTGCAAAAAAATTTTACCTTGTTGGAAAACTGTTGAAGCCGAGGTAAGGATTCATAATCAAAATCAAGCTTCTCAGATGTATCGTCGGGATAAATAAATTCAAACAGCGACAATTTGATCATTATTATGTATTACACCTTTTAAATATGACGGGTACTTCCTTAATGAACAATGAAAATTGATTGATTGATGAAAGGTGAATATACGAATGATCTTCGTCGTTATTGAATTCCACATGTCCAACCAATCCGAATACAATTTTTTTTGTAGGCTTCAGCCTTAGTCTATCTGACCAGGGCTGAAGCCTTCAAAAACGGTAAAAAGTGAAAAAAAAAAACAATAGTAGGATGGAACCCATTAGAAAATATATAGGCCGAGACCGCATATGCTGGACATGCTGATAGCAAGTGCATTAGGGTCTCGGGCGCCTCGCGGCAGGCCGGTATTATTATTAATAATTCGGAGCCCAATTCATGAAATTTTGCCATTGGTTTGAATGACTAATAACGCTATATAAAAAATATTCACTGTTGATGGTATCTCCATTGTCAAGATATTCGAAGAACAATACACCACGCACATCCCAAAATACCGAGGCTTATGACCTTTCCAGCCGATTGTTGTGCTTTCGGTCGTTTTGGACAAGGTTCACCAGTTGCTCTCCACTCAAATGACGATCGTTTTGAGTTTTGATTCCCGAGTAAAGTGATGAATCCATGTTTCATCCAGTGTCACATATCGACGCAAAAATTCCGGTTTGTTATGTTTGAACTTGGCCAAACACTGCTCACAATCATCAAGACGTTCTTGTTTTTGATCAACAGTGAGCTCGCGCAGCACTCACTTTGAACAGAGCATTCTCATAGTCTACTGCGTTCTGCATCATTGGTGTCTCTGCAACCACGTCGATATGTACTGGCTTAAATAAATCTTTAAAAAAGAGCGTTTTTAAGCAATAAAATGTTAGTTTCAAGAAACGATTTTTTTTTTCAAAATGATTACTTGCATCGTTAATCACATTCTCCCAAAATTATCAATTATATCAAAAGCAATGCATTCGTTTATATCAATGTTTTAATAATAGGGGAAAATAGCGATTTATAATAGGGGAGCCCAAGCGGGGATTTCGGGATTTACTAAAGCGCGGCAGATTAATATACAGGGGGATACCTTGTACCCGGTTAAGTACCTCCACCAAATATGAGCCCCATATATAAGGCCGCCTTTGAGGGATAAAGGATCAGATTATTAACAAAAAATTGATCATCAGAAATTCTCGAGCGCGTCAGATTAAGGTAGGGTGAGTTATTTACCTGCTAAAAAGTGTTCCCTCTCTGAATTCTGTTGCCATGACGCCACAGCTGATCACAGAGACTCGTGATCAGCAGCTAATTAATCAATTAATTGATGGATGTAGCCATTACTACGTGGTAGGAAATCATAATGAAGAAAAGATAAATTAAACTTTCTATGTTTTTTACCACTTTTATTTGTAACTAACGTTACTGCAGTTTCGTCCTATAAGGACATTTTTAAATAACGCCTCAAAGGCCTCGCTACGGGGTGAGATTATAATAAATCTCGAGGCCATACAAGAACCATCATCAGGAAATCATCCCGCCTAGAGGGATACTCCTGGCGGCGAGAGAAATCTCGGCTGTGATCCACACCAAAAATACAGATCCAAATGAACCATACACGATTAAATAGTCAGGGATTTTGAATCCAATCTCGTCCGAAATTAAGATGACAAACAAGAACCCCATTCTTCAGTAATTTTTCTTGTATTATTTTTCTGCTAAACTTGCAAGTTAACTCTAATAATATGTTATTTTGTTGCATTCTCTGTCGGAGGTAATGAACTGAGTTGTATAGTGTTTTCAGAGATATACAGAATTAAAATTTTACCCTCAAACTGCAGTTTGAGTATATCCATGAAGATGTTAGCACAGCCTGCTATCGAAAGCGCTCGCATATGATAAGGATATTTTGTCCTTTGATGATTTTCGATGAACAACATCAATGTACAGAGTACAAAATTCTCTATCGATCAGTATATACCACGATACAGTAAAATATATATTTATTGAGATATGGACCTACAAAAACATATGACATTAAAACGAACAAAATCTGTCTCTTACAGTGACGTATGGAATTTATACTAAACAAATGAGGAAAAATTATGATAAAATATATAGAATCACAATCTTGACAACAATGTTTTTAGTTTAATACAATAATATTTCTGAGAATTTAGTGCCTACTACTACTATAACTTTTAACCGTTTTGTTGATGTGGAAATAGTCAACACTAATATTTGTCATTATAATAATGGCCGCGAGTTTGCGTCAGATCGAAATCGTCAGATTTTTTTTTGTTGCACTTAACACCCCCTTAGAAAATCTGACGCGCTCGATTATTTTTTTTTTCTTTTCACTTTTAACCCTTACGTACAACCACCTACATCATGCAAACGATGAAAAGGTATATATTATATAACATTTTTTTCTTCTTTTCATCTAAGCTTTGCAACCTAATATGACTCAATGACGCTCGAGTAAATCCCCATTTTGCATTGTTGTCTCCCCTGCTATAAACAATAGAAATCAAAAATTAATAAAATATGTATGTAGCTTTCACAAATAAGCAGTCAAAGTAATCGGAATATTGAAAATAATCAATTTGTTCTGTGTTTTATTTATTCATGTTTTAATTTTTATAAAATATGTATGTAGCTTTCACAAATAAGCAGTCAAAGCAATCGGAATATTGAAAATAATCAATTTGTTCTGTGTTTTATTTATTCATGTTTTAATTTTTTTAACATACGAAACACAATATTATTACTATTGTGGTACTTTCCCCTCTTATAAGATCAAAATTTAATCTGTGCAGTTGTTGTTACTTTTCATTAATGTTTTATCTTAGGAATGATATATTTGATGTCCGGTATGATTCAAGAATGACGAATGTTTCACTTCTGGTATCACGGACAATCAAACAAATCGGTCGAATGAAACTTGGACACCTGCAGAATAATTCATTTTCAAGGAATGTAATTTGTTGTTCACTAACGAAATTTACTAGCTTTTATTTACGAGTGCTGCTATTTTCATGTTGAGGTCGGAAATTTTTCATACCTCCCTCGTATAGAAGAATATAACTGTAAAAACTAAGTTTTTGTACGACTGTCATTAAAAGTGACATTTTTAATGGTTGTCAAGAGTATTAAAAGATGATGTTTAATTTGAACAATCCATGATTTTTCCATTAATTTAGTGTCTTCTATTATCGAATCGAATCGAATATGAAAACGAGCAGCTGAAGATTCAGAGCTTGTCAAAAATGTTCTTAGTGTATTTAATACAGAAATATATAATAATATGATTCAAGAATGACGAATGTTTCACTTCTGGTATCACGGACAATCAAACAAATCGGTCGAATGAAACATGGACACCTGCAGAATAATTCATTTCCAAGGAATGTAATTTGTCGTCACTAACGAAATTTACTATCTTTTATTTACGAGTGCTGCTTTCATGTTTAGGTCGGAAACTTTTCATACTTCCCTCGTATGAAAGAATATAACTATAAAAAGTTTTTTATCGACTGTCATTAAAAGTGACATTTTTATAGGTTGTTAAGAGTATTGAAAGATGATGTTTACAAAGTAGCGTGTGAAAAATATTTTTAACGCGTTTTTCTTTCACCGAATAGCAATAAACAAAATATAATTATTCAATTTTATTATCAACAATAGATATAAATACAATAAATACAATTAAATTCTATTACAAATGTATGATATGCATTAATTACATTATTATTATTATTATTATTATTATTTTTTTTTTTCACCGTAGTGTGCGCTGGTCAGGCCCTATCCCTCGAAGCCCCGATACATTCGGGAGGGCGTGCCAGCATTATCAACC